AAGAATTTCTATCCTAATTGTTCCAGTAGGAGTTTTTTTTTGTGTGTACCTTATTCCCGAGTCGTCTTCATATTTATGGTTACTTCCCTTATCCTTGATAAGGAAATATGATCATTCTTATCCAATGGAAATCTTATCCTTGATAACGAAATATCATTGTTTTTATCCAATAGAAATCTTATCCTTGAAGATGAAATATCATTGTTCGAAAGTCGAAAAGGTCTGGCGGCTGCTCAACACTTAGTTGCCTCTATCGTTAGGTCAAGGTAGGTTAGGTTTATTTTTCTCTATCAATCTTCATCTTCAACTTCAACTTTAACAACTCGCTTGAAGATCTTTTATACTTTTCTGCACACACACACACACACACAAAAAAAGACGTTATCTCTATAGTGGTTTAGTTTACCCAGATTGTAGTCCCAATTCAAAAGAAGAAAATGGACTTTGAATTAAAATTTCACATGAAAACACGAAGAGATATGCCCTCTTATTGTAAAACTGGAAAAAATGATTGAAGAAGAAATCAAACCATCTGTATTTTCATAATTTGACTGCTTTAAACAAATAGCAAATCAACTTTGATTGTTAAGATGTCAATTACACTACGCATTTCTGTGGGGTACAAAGAATTTGTGCACAAAAAATTAACTAATGCCAATTAGAAGGGTACAAGTATAAAAGTTTGATATAATATGAGCTACCGGGTATTATAGATATATATATATATATATATATATATATATATATATATAGATATTTATATATTGCAAAGTCAGTTTATGAAAAGTCTTAATGGTAGAAAAAAATAATTTGGTTTTTACTCTTCTTCAAGCAACTAACTATATATACAATTATAATGTCACATGTTTGCAGGTTAAGGATCAGTAATAGGGAAAAAAGGAAATTGAAATTCGGGGTAATGGGAGAACATTGGGGTGGAGAAGCTGTGGGATAATGGCAGTGATGGCAGGTGGAAATGTCTATTAAGGGCCAATGATAAAAGAACTTACCCTTGTGTTAAGGTCAACATTAGTGCTTTGAATAAGTGCATGGGTAGTGTGATTCGACTCCCCGGTTTGGTTGCAAGATTGGACCATTTTCTCTAGAGGGCCAAGAGAGCACCAGTTGTCAATCCAGAAATTGGTATTTGAGGACATTACCAATTTCCATTTTGACAAAGGGTTTGATGGCATGTCTGAGTTGTAAAATTTTCCTCCAGCTCCAAGAACAAGGTTGTGGGGTTTTCAGAGTCCATTGAATCCAAGGTGAAGTACATTTGGGTGATAAGATGTACCAGAGCTGTTTCATGATATATAGAAGCATTATTCCAGGTCTGCAAATGGGGAGTACCTAGACCTCCAGTTTCAATGGGTCTGCAAACCTTGTCCCAAACAACTTTGGCACCACATTTTTTAAGTTTTTGGCCTGTCTATAGGAATTTCCTGAGGATGCAAATGATTCATTCAAATAATTCATAGGAAAGATGAACTTTGTGGCCCAAAACATTAACATTCTGCAGATAACTGATTATGAGTTGGACTCTCCCTACAAATGAGAGGAATCTACTTGTCCAGCTGCCGATTCTACATGTTATTCTTTCAACGAGTATCTTGCAGTCCACTGGTTTGAGTCTTGTTGAGATTAGAGGCACTCCAAGGCATCTATTGGGTAAACTACCCTTTTGAATCCGAAAGTGTTCAATATGGTAGCTTCCAGAGAAGTGTTAAACACCTGATAAGAAAATGTTACACTTGGTGTAATTGATAAAGATTCCAGATCGACAACCTACTGAAAAGATCAAGAGATTGCTTAATAACACAATGTTAGCATGTGAAATTAAGAGAAGATCATCAACAAATATTAGGTGTGATAGAGCTAGATTATGACATCTCCAGTGAAACTTGAACCAATTGGTGGTTGAAATCCTTTTATTTAGAATGGAAGAGAAGGTTTACATCATGATAACAAACAAAAAGGGAGAAAGGGGATCACCCTGCCTAGCTAAGACCTTGAACACCTTAGAAGCCATGATGTTCTCCATTTTTGTTACTCCATGTAACTTGAGTACTTTGATCCTCAACCACATTATTCCCATCCAATAATTGCGACTTTGATCCATCATTACAACAATAAAAACTATATATGTGAACAACAATCCTAATGTACCCTATATATGATTTTAGGTAAAGTACCCTTTTGACATGCATTGCTTGACTATAATAGAGACAGATATTAGGATTTTCATCACCTATCTATACATATACACATTCATTAAAAGATATGAGATTGCCTATGATAGAGACAAATTTTAACCGGATAACAAATAAAATGTAAAAAAATAAGACATTTGATGACAATTACAGTCTAAAATATTAAACAATTATGAGAGATAGTGCCTGTCATCGAATCAGAGCATGGTCCAAACCCATTTGGCTACCTGAAGTCCTAGCAATTTCATGTTCCATAAGCCAATAAGAATATAATTATTCCAGATTATGCGTCACATGCAATTCAATCTACGAATGAGAGCTTAACAGAAACAAAATCTCACTTTTTATGATTAAACATCATGCTATCAATCATGCCAGACATAGTATATATATATAGAGTAATGAGCTTAATAGATTATTCGTCAAATTGAAGATTAAAAAGACAGCGCATCCACTTCGTAATGAACTTTTGAAAAAAAAAATTTCTAATCAAATCCCCAAAACTAATACAATATACATAAGCTAAAATATATATTAAAAAAAAAAAATGAATGTAACAGAAGTTGGATGATGAACATGGCGTCAGAGGAAAGGGTATGACTTGACAGCCTTTGGGAGAAGATCCTTTGGGAGGCCGTACTTCATAATGAACTTTTGAAGGTTTTTTTTTTTTTTTTTTTTTTTTTTTTAAATCAAATCCCCAAAACTGATACAATATACAACAGCCAAAATATATATTGGAAAAAAAAAAAAAAAAAATTGAATACATACATTCAATCCTATTAGGGTTTGTTTTTTTCTCGTTAAGCAAACATATACGTTTATAATTATTTTCCCCTTTGATTCAATGCTTTGTTTTCCCTTCAATTTTGCAAAGTGGAAAAGGGAGAACCGTGACTCAGAGAGAGGAAGAATCAAGGAAGTACCAAAACGAAGAAGATGAATAGAGAAATCAGAGAGATAGAGAGGGGTCATCAAAACCTGTTCAACTTCTTTCCATATTTATTTTTGGTATCTTTAGCGCGCAAATAAAATATAAACAATTTAGGTACTTACGCTTCTTTCCATATTTATTTTTGGTATCTTTAGCGCGCATACGTTAGGATTTGGACTAGGAGTAGGCCAATTTGATATCATTACTCATATGAAAAATGATATTATTGACGACTTTAATACCCTGACTTAAAACTGACAAAGAAAATATATGACGTGATTATTCTAAAATTTTAACTTAAATAAGCATCTTTATTACTCTTATTTGTTTCCATAAAATACATCTCTTTTTCTTCCTTATTTTTCGATTTTTCATACCCTTTTCCTTATCTTTTAGTTTTCCATCTATGGTTGTATCATCATCTTCTTCTTCTTCTTTTTTGTCTTTTTTTTTTTCATTTTCACATCAAGTTTCATGATACTCAAATATAAGAATTTTATTTTTACAAAATCTACAACAAAAATTACAATGTTTTTTTTACAAGTTTTCCGTACTTTGCAAAAAAATTTAAAATTCCTCTCCTTATTTTTGTTTCTGGAAGCCAAATAGTTCATTAGCTTTGATTATTATAGCAATTAACAAATGCCTATCAAAATAATTGATATATATTAATGATCAAAGACACAATGTTTATATATAACAAGGGATACATGGTCTAATTATAAATAGGAGGTGTATAAAGTATCTCAAGAGTTCTTACAGAGATGCAATATGACAATTTGATATATATTCTGATTGAAATTTTAATTGCCAACAAAAATACTAGATTAAGATAAAACCTAAAAAAGGAACAACAACTTTCTAAATAGTTAATTACCTTATATTTTAATATAGTCCCATTATATCTCACACATAATTAGCCATATAGACTCGGTAAAGCAGTAGGTTTTTATTTATCAGGCTAAATAGCAATTTCATTGCTCTACTTATTATTTTTATTTTTCTTCTTATTATTTAAATTTATAATGTAATTTTATGAACTTAATGGGTGTAATTTCATACATTGCTTTCAAAATAAAAACACTGATAGAATAGAAATATTAACAATAAATATTTTAGGTCTTATATTTACTAAATATTTATCTTTCTTATACTACTAATTGATTAGCATATTATTTTGAAGTAATTTTTTTTTTCCTTATTTGCCTCCTGATTTGAACAATCTGTAGATATTGTGTTAGTTGAATTTATTTATTTATTTATTATTTTCGTTTTTTACATTGTGCCCCTGAATTGAAATTCTAGCCCTTGACGCCCTTGGTTGTTGGACGTCCTGTCGATATTTCCATCAATTATTATGTACGTATTAGAATAATTATGTGGAATGGAAGGAAAAGAAAGAATACAATTTTTTTTTTTTTCTTTTTTTACTACTTTATGTTTTTTTACTACTTTATAAGAATTAGAAAAAAGTGTGGGAATTTTCTGCCTTCAAACGCGGGTACATTTATCAGACATTCCTTGTTAAAATATAATATAGCTTGTTTGGATTTATTTTGAAATTGTATTTAGATGTGTTTCGTAATTATTAGAAACGGCTTTAAATGATTACCAAATTTAGTTCGGTTAGAATTTTGGTTCACTCTAATTACGTAGGATCTCTGGTAAGATTTTTTCTCTCTAAACATATGAACCTAATAAACCTTAGCCGAGTTGGATTCTACATAAACCTTGTAAACCCTAGCCCACTAGGATTCACACAAACCTTATAAAAATTATGGTAAACCTTATAAAATATTGTGTCATACAAACACACACATATCAATCACAGAAGAAAATCCTACTTGGCTGCCAAGATGGAGGAGAAAGGCGAAGAGTTTTCACTTCCCAAAGACATTATTTTCGAGATATTGAAGCAACTTCCTGTGGAAACATTGCTGAGATTGAGGTGTGTTTCTAAGCTCTGGTGCTCCATTATTCACGACCCAGTTTTCATTAAGTCGCACCACAAGCACTCTCATACTCGACGTGGTGGGGTCAGAATCCTCATTAGTCATGACAATTTCGATATCTACTCTGTAGATCCAGAAATTGGCTCAGACATCGTTCACCTCCTACAACTGCCGCGTTCTGAAGGCTGGGTACGCTGGGGAAAATATAATTCTAAAGACAAAATACAGTGTGTCAATGGCTTAGTTTGTATCCGAGACCGCATATGGAACCCTAGCACAAGGGTCCGCATAGTCATCCCACCATTGAAGATGAGGGAAATAATGAGTGCAGAGAGTCTAAATTCTTTTCTGGACTCTGAGTTGGAACCGCCAAGTCTCGAATACAGATATTATCCACAATACATCTTGGGGTTTGATCCTTCTGCCCAGGAGTACAAAATCCTTAATAAATGTCTGATGGTTAATATGAGAGGGGATGAGTACTGCACACGAGTCCAATACAAGATTTTGACTATCGGCACGAGTTCGTGGCGAGATATTGATTTCTACCCAGATGAAGGGAGTAGCTGGAGGGCTTTTTTGTATAATTTTTGTTGCATTGCAGGTGTTATATATTCTTTAGAATGTTGGGTTGAAGATTATTTCATACTGGCTTTTGAGGTGGGATCCGAGAAGTTTAGAACCATGTCACTCCCTCAAGGTATGAAGGTTGATTCTTCCTATAATTTAATACAAGTCCGTGAAAGTTTGGGTATTGTAGATTCTTTGGGGAAGACATTATATATATTAGAAGATTACGAAAACAACCTTTGGTATATGCCGGGTTTTTTTCCTGACCATTTTGAAGAGCCATATCGTATGCTGATATCACTAATTGGTACCATTCATACCGGTGAGATTTTAGTAGTGAGATCAGGTTTAAAGGATGGTTATGTTGACTGGGTTTATTATGATCAGGAATGTTTTACAAGGAGGACGGTTTATCCTCTATCAGGAGAAAGAGAAGGAGAAGTATATGCATTACATCATAGCATCTACAACAAACATGTGGAGAGCTTATTTGGATTGAAAGAGATGTTGGGTGAGAAGGAGGAGGAGGAGGAGAAGCTCTATCAAACATACAAGGAGAAGAAGAAGAAGAAGAAGGAGCAGGAGGAGGATAAGGAGAAGGAGAAGGAGAAGGAGGAGGAGGATGAGGATGAGGATGAGGATGAGGAGAAGGAGAAGGAGAAGGAGAAGGAGAAGGAGAAGGAGAAGGAGAAGAAGAAGAAGAAGAAGAAGAAGAAGAAGAAGGAGCAGCAGGAGGAGGAGGAGGATAAGGAGAAGGAGAAGGAGAAGGAGAAGGAGAAGGAGAAGGAGGAGGAGGAGGAGGATGAGAAGAAGAAGAAGAAGAAGAAGAAGAAGAAGAAGAAGAAGAAGAAGAAGAAGAAGAAGAAGCAGCAGCAGCAGGAGGAGGAGGAGAAGGAGAAGTATATGCATTACGTTATGGCATCTATAACAAACATGTGGAGAGCTTATTTGTCCAAAATTACAGGTTTTTGTTATTTCTCATTTTCGAATCTGTTGTGAAATTCATGCAATAAATTGTGATTCAAAATCTCAAGTTTAGATCATTTAAATAGTCTTGTTTAAAGTTTATGGCTTTGAATCAGTTTGATATGGTTTTCTTAGATGTTTTGAACATTATATATGCTGAACTTCTTAGTAGACAAAAATTGAAGGTGAAGTTCAAAATATGAATTCAAAAAAGATATTATCATGATATTTTCTCATTTTCAAAAGCCACTGCTTTTCTCAAGATGGAGTTTCATTTCACATTTGGCTAATTTTTTTTCAATTGATTGTGATTGATTTTGGAGCCACAATAATCCTCTGTTTTCCTTATATTTTCATATCCTCTTCTCTTTTGCTCTCAAAAAGTAGTAAATGATGATAATGGACTAAGGTTGTTGATCTAGAATATTTTTTCAAATGCATTTTATATATGTAGTTGAATTTGATATATTTAACAGCAATTGGTTTCTCTAGAGCTTACAGAAGAAAATATATATATATAGTTTTTCTAGTTTTGGTGTTTAAAACGCCAAATCTATTTATAAAAATCAATAGTTGATTATGCTTGAATTGAGAATTTTGAGAAGATAACTGCTTTAAACATGAGCTTGACAAAATTGTCAGTTGTGAGGAGTTACTTGCTTTTGTTTGACTGTTTCTAATAAAAGTGATCAAAATTTGCTTAAGCAAGAGAATGAAACCGAAAGATATGTTGAACTGTGAATGAATGGCTTTGATATATGATTCTCCCTTTTATTCTGAACTTGAAGTCTTTTGCTTATTTTGATTAGCCTCTATCCCTTACCTAGGAAGAGAAATGTCAATGTGGATCAGCAGCCCATGTCTACTTGGAACAACATTATATGGTTTTCCAAACACATACCTAGGCATGCCTTTGTCACTTGGCTTGCTCTACACAACAGACTCTACACTAAACACAAGTTCTTATCAGTAACAGTGGTGATTCAGACCTATGCCCTTTGTGTATGAGGGAGGCTGAAACTCATGAACATCGAAAAATAGTTTTTCCTCCTACATTTGGGACTATGTTCAACATACTTGGGGTTTTTGCTACAGTGAGCGTAGCCTTACCTTCATAGTTAGATGGATTGACAATGTATGGAATGACAAGTGTAATTCTAGGGAGAGTAGTGATACTCACACTGAACACTTGTAATGAATTGTCTAACTGAATAGTTTTTAATTGGCTATTTATAACAAATACAACTAACTGAAGGGCGTCACTCCCTTATTTGTTGCATAATTGGCCAATTAAAAAAGTACGTCTAATAATTCACTGCAACTATTCGATACAATAATCATTTCCCTTCTATGGATGCAATTACAACTAGACTGTGTTTTTCTACTTCCATATATTTCATATGAAAGGAGCGAAACAAGCATACCTATGCTGGAAAAACGTCTTCTCCTCATGTTGTTCGGAAACTCATTGAAGACTCTATTCGTAATCGCCTCCTCTCCATGAGATTCAAGGACTCCAGGAGCTCTAGGAATGTGGCTGCTGATTGGAGAGTGCCAAGTATGGTCATTTGGCAATAATACTGTCAATGTTTGAGCTCTGCTCTTTGTTGGTTCCTCTGCTTGCTCTGCCTCTGCAATGCTTGCAAGTATGTTGGATAGGTGCCTTCGGGCTTTCTGGTTGGGCCTTGGTGCCCTCGTTTGTTGTAGTTCTGTTTTTGGGCTTGCCTGTTTTGGGTAGCCTTTGTTTTGTTTCCTGTCTTTTGAATAAAATTGAAGATACCACCAAGTTCAAATAACAATGTGCGTGAATTTATATAATGTGTGAATATAGGTTTTTTTTTTTTTTCCGGAACAGTGATACTTGGGTCGAAATTCTTGAACCAAATACATGATTGACCATTAATGCAAAAGATATAGTAGTGGATGATCCCCCGTTTTTATATTTTATATATATTGACTAATTAAAAACATTTGGTTGAGGAATTTTTTTTAATTCATTGGCTTTAAAATTATTTTCTTTTTTGACATGTATAAAATGACAAATCTAGTGCATGAAACTCTCCCACAATTACGTGAAGAGGATCTGAATGTTCCACCATTGTAGGTTTAGAGAGGATCAATATCTAACTGAAACATGTCAACTACTTATATCTAGCTTGGTTAAAAACTTACTTCATACATACATCTTTTGAATGTTTGGTCTAAATGAAAAGTTTTTAAGTTTGAGTGGTGCAATATCAAGTGCTTGGGGGGTGAGAAAAGTTTGAAAAAAAAAATTATAAAATAATAAATAAATAAATAAAAAGTTTTAGGATATGCTTGGTTTAATTTTTTGAAAACAAAATTTTTTGTTTTTTAAAAATTGAAAATTAAGAAGTTGTACAAATACATAAAAAGTAAAAATAATAATAATAATAAAAAAAAAAAAAAATTGTTTTGAAAAACTTATGAATTCCAAAAAACCAACACTTTAAAGGGAAATACAAAGAGGATAAGTTGGCCAATTTGAAAAGGAAGAGTAGTAATGCTCCTTAGTATAGACCATCTGGACCCTAAATCTCTATCAAGGTCATGGAAATGGACGGTGATCGATGCTTTTTAGTCAGATATGGGTCCTGTCAAAATTAATTTAAAGTAGCACATGTGCTCTAAATAAATTGATTCATCATGATGGAATGTAGAGAGGTGGTCCAATGAAAATGGATGCTTAGTTCATGCTCTCCAATGGGTAACTTTCACATACAATACCACTTTTACAAGAAAGTGAAGGACAATACAATGAAGATGGACAAGAGCATTAATGTCATTTTGCACAACAAAGTCAACAGAGATTTAGAAAATCTTGCAAAATTTGACAGATTGATTGACCCCAAACCGACAGATCCGAAGACCTTTTTTGTGATGTTGGAGTGTGATACTAGGATGCTGTGATTAGCCATGCCAACGTAACAACAACAGTTCATGCAGTCCAAAACTAGACTGTGTGTGTGTGTGAGAGAGAGAGACAGGTGGTTCATTGCTTCACTCAACTTTCTGCTGTATACCTAATCATTACAAACTAGTACTCCACTCAAAATCAGAATATATCAAATTCGATTGTACATTTGTCAAATGCAATTTCAGGAACTTAAACAATGGAATTCCATCCAAAAATAAAGAAAATTAATATATATGCAGATGAAATCTAATCCGTTTAGCAATATTACAAAATTTTATGAATGAGATGTGATTTCGATTTTGAAGTCCTGTAAAAAAAATCGGCTCTTTCATGCAAAAATTGGTGTAAGACTTATCCGGTAGAATCCCCTGCATGCAAAAATTGGTATAAAGGATAAAGGGATTTCACCGAGGAAGACTTATCCGGTAGAATCTCCCACGGAAGATAAGTTTTTTTTTTTTTTTTTGAAGGGTTGTATATGCTAAGTTTGAAAGGTTGTATAGGCTAAGTCACATGAAGCATGAGTATAAGTGAGAGTGAATTCAAGAGCGAGAGCGTAAAAAAAACATGCCTAATTAAGTCATAAGCAGTAAAAGTATATGCAGAGCGTGAGAACAACATCTTTTAAGAACGATTATTTGACTTAGGTTTTGTGTACCCTCTCTATAACATATGTAAGGCTAAATCAAAAATGTTTATCCAGTGAAGAGAATTCGAATTCAACCTCAATATGTTAATGCTATGTTGGGCCGTATAAAATTAGAGTTTTGAAATTTAAAAAAAAAAAAAAAAAAACAGTTCACAAATCAGTACTAAAAGTTTTTTTAATTAAATAAATTTTAATTTTAAGACCTCAATATTACGTGGCCGAACACATCTGAATACGATTCAGACACCCAATAACCCATATAATAAGTGCAGGGTAGCCACCGTGAAGGGAATTGAAAGTGGTTCACTGGTTCGTAGAGAGGGGGAGAGAGAGAGAGTGAGTGTGTGGTGGTTCATTTCTTCACTCAACTTCCTATTGTATACTTAAGAGCTTATCCAACACAATAATACCTGGCAGAGACATGGTGCATTTTCTACCACTCTTCCCTGTAATCACACTGTTTCTTGGAAAGTAAACGTAACCTTTACGCCTCTTTATATCTTGCTCTAAAAAGTAATTGCTGTGTGGTACCTTCATTCTTGAATACCTCTCTCTCTCTCTCTCTCACACACACACACACACATACAGAGTAATATACACCTCCAATTCTTAGCTTCTCCACCTATACCTACAACCTTATTGAGTCTCTCACACAACAATAGATTTGATTTTATGTACTCAATGCTCTTACTGTGACGCCTAATTTATAGGAACTCTCTCTCTCTCTCTCTCTCTTTCTCTCTCTCACATATTCACACACACAATTATGTGATTGCTTCTTTTGACACCAACTCTTAAAAACCCATATTTGTGGATTGAATCCCACCAAAGTTCTGTGCCACTCAAAATCCAGAGAAGCCATGAAAGAGAGAGGCAAATCTGTTGAAAAATACAGTGGCAAAGACATCCCAGACTTCAACTACTCTTCATCATCAGACCTTCCATGCAAAAAACACCCATCTTCTTCCTCAGTCGGAATCTGTGCTCAATGCCTCAAAGACAGGCTCATCAAGCTGGTCTGCTCAGACTGCGGCGAGCAACGCCTCTCTTCGTGTTCATGCTCCGAGGTCTCCAACCCCAATTCATGCAATCTCGAGGTTGGGAGCGTTGGGAGGGTCTCGTTCTTGATAGAGAACGAGTCACATTCAAAGCCCAAAAACGAGGAGAGACCAGAGGAAGTTATTCACCTCAAGAGAAGCAGTAGTAGCTGTGTTGATGTGAGAAGGGGTGGTGGGTTTTGGAAAATTGGGAGGCTTTTCAGGAAGAAAAGAGAGAAGGGTAGTACTAACTGTGAGGGCTCAAGTTTTGGTGGGTTTGATGAGAAGAGTGAGCTCTGGGTGTTTGATTATATGGGTGTGTCAAGGTCTAGGTCTCTCTGTAGTTACAGAGATGAAAGCAGTGACTTCAATTTCTCTAGTGCCAAGATTTCTGATGTTACTGGTGGTATGATGTTGGATTCTTCAAGACAGAGTGGTTTCAATGAGACAGAGTCCAGAAAGAGTGGTTTTAGAGATGGGTTTGATTCTGAAATTGGGTCCAATCTGAAGGGTGTGAGGAAGGGTGTTTTTGTGGTTAAAGAAAGTGATTTCAATGGGATGGATGATTCAGCTTTTATTGACTTGAAGCTTGATCTGTCATCAGAGTCAAAAACAGAGTACTCTGTTTCAAAAATGAGTGAGCTCTCATCAGATTCAGGTTTTGGTGGATTGAGAAGTGGGAGTTTTGTGGGCCATAGTGAATGTGGGAGTGTTTTGGGAGATGGGTTTTTCAAGAAAGGGGGTTCTTGTAGGATTACAGTGAGTGACAGAGGGATCAGAAAAGGGAGGAGAGCTCAGAAGGTTTGGAAATGGATTTTCAGGCATCATTCTGGTTGGAGAACTGCAACTAAGAAGGATGAGAACATAGCTTGAAGCTTTTATCATGATCAAATGCAGTGACATATGTGATCTTCTGTTGGTAGTTCAGAGAGAGAGAGAGAGAAATCAACTATAAACTGTAATGTCTGTGTTAGTGATGCAGTGTTACTTCACTGATTTCTCTTCTCTGGTCTTGTCCTGCTTCTTGTTATTTACCCAAAATTGGTGAATGTTTGTCTGTTGGGAAAATAAATGCCGAAATTGGATTATGGAATCGAAATTTCTTTCAAATTCAAGACGCTGATTTAGTGCTTCCAAATGCAATAGTAGTGAAAATGTGTAGGCATATCATAGCTACTTTGTTAGAATATATTTGTATCATCCATCTTTGTTAGTGAAAGTATACTCCAGTTTTTTCCTTGTAGGAATTCATACCCAAGCCTTGAAAATAATGTGGCAATGGCAGAAATGAACCAATTGGATCTATGAGCAGCTTTTGGCTTTGAATATTAATGAGTTTAAGCATCATTTAGAACCCCAAACTATTTGGATATAACATTTTACATTTTATACTACATGCAAAATTATAGCAAATTCAGGTGCTAAAACTTTGGAGTCTAATAAATTTACTGGAATGAAGCAGAAAAAGAAAGAAAGAAAATTGTAGGGCTTGATACTGCTTTTGACCTCTTAACTCGGTTTCCAACTGGCGAAAGGTGAATTTAATTATGAAAAAAAAACAGTAAAGCCTTTTTAACAAGGGAAAATAAATCAAGAAACACAATAAAAAAGTAATCATACCATGCACAAACATCTCAAAGATTTAGTGTAGTTTGGGAAAATCTAGATTCACGGAGATTTAGTGTAGTTTGGGAAAATCTAGATTCACGGTGGTGATACAAAAAATAAGAGATTACAAGTTTAAGACCCTCCTCAATTTCATCCCACTCCAAACTCTAAAAACTTTTATATATCGGGTTAGAAGAGGATACTAATTAAGGTTCACGACCCAAAAAAAAAAAAATAATAAGTCCAAAAATTTATGGTTGACACCCAACTCAGACCACAACATCACACCTCTAAATATTATGATAATATATTATATTACAAATATATGTTAATCTCCAAAATTCATCTGACCCATGTCTAATTTGTTCAAGCCTTACAGGACATTAATGTAATTTAATCTATTATGTTTTTCTATAAAGAAAGGACAAAATAATTAATTTTATAGGTGTTGATTTGTCCACACTTCATATGAGGCCAGTGGTGTAATTTGCCCTTTAAACAAGTGACTTTAATGGGGTGTATTGATAATCATGGTCTATCATTACAGCTAAACTCGGTGTACTCTGTGTCAAAAATGTTGAGACATTAGAACTAAAACAGGGTGAAGTCTTAGTTTCAGATTTTGGCCGCACCAACCACCTAAATGGACTACGAAATTCAAAATATCAAATGAAGAAGAGAGAGAAGATTGATAAGTACTGAATTATATATATATATATACACACACACACATATGCACACTTGATAATATTGAATAAAAATACTAAGAGGAGTGGAGCACTAGCATGTCTATATTGAGACATGATGATTGATGGCCCGAAAACACACACCACGCATGCTCAATCCCAATGCATCATTGGAAGACAAACAAATGGTTATGTGGTGTAACGTTTTAGTTTGTTAAATTAATACTCCATTACCCATTACAGGAGTATAAAAATTGGTCCTAATCATGATGTTCCATTCCCCATTATACTCCCTTTTTTTCTTTTTTTCTTATTTATTTATTTATTGATTGACTGATTTTGAATTGTGTTTGTTAAATTGAGACCATTAATTACAATAATTTGACAAAGAGCATACTTGTTTGTAATTATTGGATCTAGCTTATGATTAAGTAAAATTTAACTACTACATATTTATTGTAGTACACTTGCATTGTTGGGGCTTTGTCTCTTATTAATGGTCAAGTGAAAAAGTGGTTAAGATATTAAGATTAAACCAATAACAAATACAATAGGGGTTTGTTCGGTAGCAATGTTTTGGAATATTCAATTCTAAATTTTGTGTTTAGATACCAAAAACTTGCTTGCGTTTGGGATTGCATTTCAATCCCAAGCACCCCACGATAAAATTAGAGATTTGTAATTTCAAAACCAACCCAATTCCTCTTTGGCTCTCTCTCCTTGACCCTGATCCTACGATCGCGATATCTCTCAACCACTATCCTCTCGATCTCAAGCGATGGCTCATTCCTCAACCCTTCCATGTCTATTCCATCTCAATCCAGCTCTCTCAACAATATAGCTGTATTTTTTTAAGAAAAATTGAAAAATCTCAACAAACTTGAGTAATATTTTCGCAAAACACAAAAGAATATACAACATTTGAAAAATTGTATGCAATTCGTCATTAGTTTTGTTTTGTTAACCACGGGCATGTTTGACAATAGTTCCCATTTTGCGTTTCTATTTTTATCCGAACATAAATAATGTTTTTTGTTGTGATTTATGTTTAATGGTGATTGGAAACATGTTTGGTAATGTAAAATTTATTGTAAGATTTTTGAAATAAAAAATATGAACTACAATGTTTTGCTATCCTGCGAAAACATTAATAGTGCTCTTGATTTGGTGCTTTTGATTTGGAAGTTTTTCCAGCAACAAATATGATACTATTCAAATTGCAATAAAATTTGCCAAACGTGTTTCGGGATTTTGCTCATACAACAAAAAAATTATGAAAAAAAGCCAACAGATAAATAAAGAAATTATAACTGAAAATTTTCAGTGATATTCATATTAATAGTGATTGTTAAAAAAAATAATAATAAATAAATAAAATCACTTAAAATGAGGGTTTAAATTTAGTTTCAGAAGAAGCCGGAGGATTATAGTCTATCAATACTTTCTCGCCTTTCAAAGTATGAGGTATCAACATAATTATCAGTTTACAAAATCTTCTTTTTATCAATCAACAAAACTCTTACTTCAAATGGTCTTTTTTTTCTGTTAATAATAAAAGAAGGCACTGCATGTCTATAGTTGCAACAAAAAAATTTAAATAATTAATTCAAAAATATTTTTGTAATGTATTTAAACTCCTCAAAAAATTTATATAAAAAAGAGAAAGAAATAGTTTCTACCTGAGTCTTTTTTTTTTTTTTTTTTGTTTGTTGCCAGAAAAAAGTTCAAAGCTGGTTTTTGGTAGGCTCAAAATTATACAAATCTGATCTGCAAATTGGTTCACCGACTGGCCTTCGTACTACAATTGGTAAACTTTGTGAGCCTTTTCGGCGGTGGTAACAGGCCATTAACCTATATATACTCGAACTCAAGCCCAAACTAATAACTAGACTTCAACCCAATTACATTATGAGCCCATTTATAGTAGCAGTAAACTTGTACTCTGTTTTTTTTTTTCAGACTTTCACGGAGTATATATAATATTGAAATATTTTTTTCATATTATGTGCATATATAAACTGTAACGACAAGAACTTTCCGATATATCCTCCATGAATCTCTTCAAACTCCATCATCCTCGTCAAACCTTCACTCTCCAAATTTCCCAAATTACCCCTCCCCAACCCCCTCTCTCTCCTCCTCCTCACTTTCTCTCTCTTCCACTCTCTTCGATTTATCAACCTAAACTTGCTCACAGTTTCAATCTCTATTCTTCTCCGGTTCTTTCTTCAGTTCCCGCAATTTCTCTCTCCAAACCCAATTTCAGGTTCAGACATTTTAGGGTTTCAGAAACTGAAGCTTCAACTTCAGTTTGGAGCAATGAAGAGGAAGAGAACATCGGTTCGACGGAGCTCGAGGACTTGGCGTCGGACGGTGCCGTTTACCAGAAGACTCTCAGATTGGTGGAGTGTTCGATGTTCGCTGCTGTCTCCGGATTGGCGTATTTCTTGAGCAACTCGCTTGCAATCGAGGTATGGTTTTGAGATTGGTGCGTGTATTATGTATTATTTGATGTTGTATCGTCTTTGATTTCTATTCGTCGGAAAATTTGTTATATATCATCGAGTCAATTATAATTGAATCAAAAAATAATAATAAAAAATAAATAAAATAAAATTGGGACTAAATAAGACTGAAACTACATTATGTGCAATCACCATTTTCATAAATGTATTCAATGGTTGTGATTTAGTTAACCTGTGAATTCGGCTGGAATACCTTTTATCTATTTAGTGATTTACTGGTTATATGAGCTGAATTGGGTTGTAAAGTTGGTTCAATGAATATTTTTACTTCTCTTCAGCTCACTGTTGTAGTATAAATTTTCTAATGCTAACCCTTTAAGCAGTTGGCATTTCTTATTTCTTTGGTCCATGCTTATTTTTCACTTCTTGTGGTAAATATTCTTATGAATTTATTCCATCCTATTGGGTTTGTGGCTCGAAATTTGTGTGCGGGAATTAATTTCATTTTCCATTTTGGAAGGTTGAAATTCGTGAAGGAAATTCAATCCCATTAGGTTTCTAATTTAGAGAAGACTGATATGATAACTTCTTGTAAGCAAGTTGGGGAATACTTGTCTACCAAGAAATTGGGTTTGAAGACTATAAAATTAGATGGGTTGAGAATTGTAGAGAGAGAGAGAGAGAGAGAGAGAATAGAGAAAAGATGTAAGGAGTTTAAGGGTGAGTGTTGTGAGGGGAGGGGAGAGTATATGTAATTTCCGAGTGTACCGGTGTAACCTCAAAAGAGATGATGAGTGAATGGAATTTTGACATCTGGTTGTATATTCTCTTTATTGATTCATAATAGTGAAATATCTCTCTCCATGTACGTAATCCTAGAGTTGGGTAAATCATGTAAAATATTGTGCTGTGCATGGATGTATATAATTGTTATCTCCAAATATACTGTTGTTGATGTGATGTGATGATGCTTCCACTATGTGTGATGAAGGAGGAATTTAACTCTCAACAACAACCGACCGTTGAGTGGGTTGGAGGGAGTTAATTTTCCCTAATACATCCTAATAGGTATTGCTTCTTCTTCTTTTTTGCATATATGGGTCATTATATAAACTTTTTGGGATAGAATTCTTGAATATAGAAATAAAAGATACAATTTTTAATTTAATTTTGTTAGGCTGCAAATGAGCTGAGTTGTCGGATTGCTCAAGCTTGGGTTAAACCAATTCAATCTCGAGCGAGTCACCAACTGAGTCGATCATGTTTTCTATTAGGATGACTAATTTGTATAGAGTAGCTCTTTTGTTTGTTTTCCTGTCCAATACTTCTATTTGTAATTCCTTTTTATTTGTTTATTTTTGTAATATCTGTTAGTTTGAAAGCATTTCCTTCCAGTTACTAGTTGATTTTTCATAACCGGCTTATGTATGATTCTTTTTTCTTATTTCCTTATCATTTACATTTTGGCATTATTATCATTGTTGTTGTTGTTGCTGACAAAGGCAAAAGAGGAAGGAAATTTGGAATTTGATGCCTACTTTTGGCCTAGATTTTTCGTTTTTATATTTTTCCATCTTTCAGCTAAGTTACTGAAAACAGTTATCTATATAATTATGTATTGTGCTATACTCCTTTCTTCGACCACTTAACTCGGAAACGTGATATTGCAATTTGATTATGCACAGAATTACTTTGGCTGTTTCTTCTCATTGCCAATAGTAATCTCCTCAATGAGATGGGGTGTCGCAGCTGGCAGAAAAACTATGGTTTGTGATCATGCCCTGCTATTCTAGAACATTTTTTTTTTCCTAGTTCCTATTCTAGAACATTATTGTTACTATTAATATATACTTTTTGAAGTATTACTTAAATATCTCCTGAATATTGTGATAGTCTTTTTGTCTTGGCAGGTAGCGACAGCTACACTATTACTTGTCTTGTCTGGTCCAGTGAAAGCATTAACCTATTTGGTGAGCATGCTTTGAAATTCTCCAGCTCTCATAACAACTCTGGCTTCTCTTCTGCTCACTGTTATGGATTGATTAATCTGTGTTCTGAACTTCTGAATGTTCCTATTCCTCATAATTTATGTTTTATCTTTTAGATAACACTCTCGTAGATAATATAGCTTCCACAATTTGTGTATTCACTACGGTTTATGATAAAAATTTGATCTGCTCTGACTTCTAGGGTTGTGCGATATTTGTTATATGTTTTGGGTTTAGACCTTAGTTAAAATGGAAGAAGAATTAATTAATGGCCATATTCAGAAGTTTTCATAAATTAGAAGTAAAAACATATACCAAATTGTGCAGGGCCTTTTGATTTCATGTAAATATTTTTCAATCAATGGTGTTTTGCAAAAGGTTAGAGAAGTTTAAACCCATGAAGAGATGTTTAGTCTGCGTGCGACCAAAAAATTTCCAGAGAAATATTCAAGATTATCATCTCCTTGAAGCTATATAATGATAGTGTGAACCTTCTACTCTTGTCTAAGAGCAACATGCTCTGGTTTTTTCTTCTCTCCAATAGTTTCTTTTCATCTGCTTATATGCTTTGTTGGCTAAACGGCATGTCTCAGTTATAATATAATAGCTGATGATTTACTTGCTTTGGTGAGACAGCTTATGCACGGGTTAGTTGGTGTCACCATGGGTTCTTTGTGGAGGTATGCATTGCACTTTTTTCTTCCCTTTTTTTTTTTTTTAGCAAAGACACTTATTTGTTTTTGTCTCTCTAGTCAAAGCACAAACTTCGCGATAAAGTTTTCTAGATCCCGTAAAATGGTCTCAGATCACACCCATTCTATTTCCAAGCAAATATAACAATATTCTTCTTGTTTATGGATGAATTCCATAATTATTCACAGTAATTCTTAAATATAAGAAATTTTTGAATCTTCCTTTACAAAATATTTTCATTCTCTGTAGCATCTGCAGCAACTTGATTGTATAATGTTTTTCCGAACCAATTGACTAGTGATTCATGTCATTTATGTACCTTGTTAATCTTTAATTTTATATGACCTTTTGGACTACACTTCTGACTTTCATTCATTCTTTCAAATTGTGAATACCCAATTGCTGAATGATTCAGATACATATAATAACTTCATGGCGGTCCCTTTTGCATCATCTCAGGTTGGAGGCAAATTGGAGTCTCTCAGTCTTCGTTTGCTCATTGGTAGAGTTTACTCTCTCACTCCTTTATTTCTTTCCACTAGTGTCAAACAGTTTTTTTCGGTTTGTTATGAGTAAATTTCCAATGAGTGGGAAATATTTCGTTTGCAGGTCCGAGCTATGGGTGCCATGGGGTATGTTTTAGTATCATCTTTCTTAATAAGAGAGAACATACTTGCCTTGGTAACTGATTATCCTTGTACCCTTAAGATATTATTTTCACCGATTACCAGAATCCAGAATATACTTAACAAAGTCTTTTGTTTGCTTGTAGATTACTATAAACATTCATGCTTCTCTTACATATATTCTGACTGCCTTAGGCTTCAATTCCATTCCATCAATGGGAATGATATATGCCATTTTCGGGACGCTAGTATGTTTTTCTACCACTCTTTTCTTTTTCTTTTATTTTTGCGTGATTGAGAACTAAAATTTTACCTTTTATTGTAACAGCTATTGCTTAATTGTGCTTCCTTTGTGTTCTTGCTACATATATTGTATGCTGTGTTCTTTTCGAGACTTGGGATGAAGGCTTCATTGACACTGCCAAGATGGCTGGAGAAGGCAATATAAGTGTTTTTGCCTGAAACGGTCATTTCTCTATCACGATGTGTACCGTCGTCTGTGTGCTACAGTACCATCGTCCAAAGACAGCTGAAGATTCAACAATCATCTTTTTGATACCATCACTGTGATAGTGTGATTATTTCTCGACTGACGACTCATACTGAATCGCGTCTCCAGAATGCTGAATGTTCAACGAAATTTTAACCAATATCATAGATTTCTGAGATTCATTTGTATTTTACATGTAAAACTTTGATTTTGATTGTACATGAATTATACATTCTTATGATAACAAGGAATGATTTAATGGAGTAATTATCCGTGAACCGAGTGTAAGACATTTTTTTTATTGATCTATTATATGTATTGTTATAATTGTAAAGAGAAATTTGGGGGCCTCTGAAATTATTGATGCTTTGTCAAGACATTTTCACTGGACAAAGCAAGAAAATTTGTTGTTTCAAATAATTTTGGGATTTGTATGATTGATTTTCGTTTATTATTTATTTGTTCCCAGTTTGGATATGAAAACATATAAATGTATGCATATATATTGTCACAACTCTATACTCAGACCTTTTATCACAATCTTCACGTACATGTCTGTTTTAAGAGCATCAAAATTATCCAAACTGAAATTTTGAAATAACAAATTATTTTATTTTATTTTATGTTGTAAATTTTCAAACCACGATCATAAAACGGTAATGGAAATAACAGGTTACCTAAACAATAGTATAATAAATAAATAAATGAAATTTTCAGTTAGCAATTTACTGCAGGAAAAAAAGCACAATCAACGTCTAAATAGGGTTCTAACCAAAAAGTTTTAGCCCAATAAAGTACTATACATATTTACCTATCTATATCTATATCTATTTATATATATATATATATATATATATATATATATATATTTATACTTCTAATAAAAGTGTATGGAATTTTTAATATTTATATACACTTTTAAATAATAATTTCAATTAAAAATATTTTTAATTAACTTTTCTTGTTTCCAAAGAGTTGTCCCAAATACCCATTGGCCAAAATATTTGTATGTGACTTTTCTTTGGAACTTCTTATTTCCAAAGAGTTGTCTGCTAAATGAAACAAAATATTTTTGGGTGACTTTTCAATGGAACTTCTTGGATTTAGGCGTGGAACTTCTTATTTCCATAGAGTTGTCTGCTAAATGAAACAAAATATTTTTGGGTGACTTTTCATTGGAACTTCTTACTTTCAAAGGATTGTCGCCTAAATGGAACACTTATTCGGCAAAAAGAATACCCCCTTCTTTTTTTTTTTCGATTAATCTGGAGTATCCAAGATGGCACGAATCCTTAGAGCCTCTTAATAACTCAATTAATCCCCGAGGACCCGGAAATACGCCTCCCCACCTGGGCTAGGTAAGTCACTACAAGACAACGGAGGCTAGCCACAAAGAATAACCAGCAGGACTCAAACCCAGACCTTAAACTTGCTTAGCTCCAAAGTCCAACAAATAAACCGCTGGACCATGTCCGAAATGAATGGCAAAAAGAATATCTGATAAACAAATCCAATCCTTCAATGAAAGATCTCTATTTATGAAGACCAAAACTAACTCAAAACCATAAACTATTAAACAGCCATCTATTTAAAACACTTAAATAATTTAAATTTGAGATTTTGAAACAAAATTTGTTGCATGAATTTCATGAAAGATTCTCAAAATTGAAAATAAACCTGAAAAAAAAATATTTGAGAATTAACAAAAACCAATAATTTTGGAAAAATAGAAAGTTGGGACATGTTTTTCTCTCTTTTATCCTAATAATGGTTATGGTTAGTAGGTAGTAAGCGGTTAGGGGGGAGGAGAATCGAACTTTGGACTTATAGGATGGGAGGTACCAAAGGTCTGGCCTTTTACTACTCGGACAACATTGCCTAACATCATCTCTTGGTATGTTTAAAAGAGTATAAATTATTCTCAATCTTATACTTTCCCGATCAAAATTGTGAGTCCGTAAATTCTCACCAGTATAAATGACACCAATTGGTTCAAATAGTTTCCCATCATAATGACTGGGAAGGAAACTCTCCCTATTCGAAAGATTGTTTTCAAAATATTCTAATATCCCAATTGTCTTCAACTCATTATTTACCAAAGCCAAACTTTCGCCAACATCTATTAAAAAATGACAAGAATTACTACCCATCCCTCGAGGGAGTGAGATGATTTGAAATTTCTCTGAGTCCCATCTCAAATTTATCTTCTCCCAAATTTTCTAAAGATTCATTATGCATATTGTGCAGAAATACTACAAACACTCTAGATTCCTCTGCCCTAAATAAGATAATATACATAACAACAGGACAGCTTACCCTAAAGGAACCAAATTAAGCCGACTGAGTGACCACTCATGTAACTAATACAAGTCAAAAAGTTTAGATTTATACAAAAGTCTCAAATTCAAAATATTGTGTCACTACATATATCTTCTTCTTTCTTTCTTTTTTTCCGATAATTGGAGTGTTCGGGACTAGAATTACTATTGCCAATGCCAACAAGACAAAAAGGATTAGAAGTTTGATTAATAAATGTAGAGAGTCAAAGCATGACACTCCAAAGTTTACCGGAGACACTCCAAAGTCTGCATTTTTCCTTTACTTTCATTCTGGGCAAAACCATTCTCTCAACGTTATTTAAACTATAAGAAAGCCAAACAAGGGCCAAAGAAAATTGTTTTTCACCTATTTATTCCTCACCTCTGAAACCTATTATACCCAAGTTGATGTTTTATTAGATCACTTGATGCATCTAATAACACATACTGTGTGTAGTATAAATACGAAAATTTCCATCATTCAATAAAGGAGTTCTTTTACAAAAGTTATAGAGAGCAAAATCACCCATGAAACAAACTTTATCACAACCTTATACTCACAACATATGTTTCTGTTTCTAGAGCATCAAAATTATCCAAATTGAAATGACAAATTATTGCAATAAGTTTCTTGAATACTTAAAAATTGAGAATAACAAAAACTGATAATAATAGCTTGAGCAAAATGGTATATAAAAGCTCTCGAATACCCTATAACCAAATTCAATCCTTCAATGAAAGAATTCTATTTATGAAAGACTGAAGCTGATTCAAAACCATAAACTATTAAACATTCGAAACTATCAATTTAAAACGCTTAAATAATTTAAGTTTGAGATTTTGAATCACAATTTGTTGCACAAATTTCACGAGAGATTCAAAATTGAGAATTAACAAAAACTAGTAATTTTGAGTAAATAAAAAGTTGATCAGTCCTTTGGTTACAATTTATGTCTTCTTCAATCCAAATAAGCTCTCCACATGCTTGTTGTAGATGGTGTCACCATCTGCATCTCCAGGTATGTTTGATAGAGCATAAACCATCCTCGATCTTTTACTTTCCATATCATAATAAGCCCAATCGAAAAAAAGTTTATTTGAAATTTGTGACTTCAGTAAAATCTCACCGGTATGAATGGCACCAATTGGTTCAAATGGTTCCGCCTCACCATCTGTAAATGGTTTCTTATGATTGGCGGGAAAGAAACTCCGCCTATTCCAAAGGTTGTTTTCGTAATCTTCCAATATGCAGATTGTCTTCAACTCATAATCTATCAGACCCAAACGTTCTCCAACTTCTATTAAAGACTGGCAAGAATTATTAGCAATCATACCTTGAGGGAGATGGAGGATTCGAAACTTCTCAGGTCCCACCTCAAAAGCCACTATGGCATATCCTTTACAACCAGCTATATAGTCGAAAGAATATATAACACCCGCAATGCAATAAGATTTATCAAAAGCATCAAAAGCGCACCTATACGTCAACTCAACGGGGATGGAATCAATATTTCGCCACGAGTTGGTGCCGAGAGTCAAAATGTGGTACTCCATTTGTGTTTTGTGTTCATCCCCTCTTATACTCATAATCGGACATTTATTAAGGACTTTGTACTGTGGGAAGAAGGATCAAATCCTAAAATGTATTGCGGATAACAATCGAATCCAGTGACCGGTGGCTTGAATCCGAATGCAAAAGGCATACTCGTCTTCAATGTCTTCAATGCTGGGATGACTATTTGTTGCCTTATGCTAGGGTTTCATACCCATTTGTTGGGAGAGATAACAATAAACAAATTAGCGAAATAATTCTTCTCCCTATATGCAAGCAAATATAGTGTATCTCTAATTTTATATGTGTTGAAAATAATAAAAAAGAAAATCAATCACACCAAACTACAAGAACACAAGCAATATTTTACATAGAAAATTTCCCCAGTGTGAGGAACAAAAACCACGGGACCTAGTCCAGTTGAAATCTCCACTATCAACCAAAATAATGGGTACACAAAGTCTTCTCTAATTGTAATTAGAGGCTACAATACATCTCATTAAGATATCAACAATCTTGGCAAAAACAAAGAGAATTGGAGAGAAAAATACCAAAACCCGGTTACTGTTCATGGACACGAATCACTGTTCCCGAGCTCAAAATCTGATCTTCACCGTTCAGATTTTAAGTCATTGAGTCATGAACCTCTCCTCCAACTTTCAGCTCGATCGGACGACGGACGAAGTGGGATCTGACGTTTGATGAAATCTGGGCAAAATAAAACAAACCAAAACCAGGTTACTATTCACGAGTACGAATCACTGTTCCCGAGCTCAAAATCCAATCTTCACCGTTCAGATTTTAACTCATTGAGTCGTGAACCTCTACTCCAAATTTTAGCTCGATCGGACCACGGACGAAGCGGGATCGGACATTTGATGAAATTTGGGCAGACCAGAAAAAACCTGCGTTTTTCTCCTCTTTCTTGTGAAAGCTATGGCTGATCTTCCTCTCTTTTTATTCTGACTTCCTTAGGGTTATTCATCCTAAAGAGCTGGGCTTTGGGCTTTAATAAACCCCACTTGGGCTTTCCTCCATATAGAAGGAAATAAACCCAACAAATCTCCCCCTTTCAGACTATGTGGAAGGAATCGCCATTCCGGCAATCGAACAACAAACTTCAAGCTTTTCTCTTGGTAGGGTCTTTGTCAATATATCAGAACCATTATCATCAGTGTGAACCTTCCCAAGTTCAAGTAACTTATTGTTCAACCCATCTTTGATCCAATGGTATCATACATCAATGCGCTTAGATCTTGTACGGAAACTTGAATTCTTAGCAAGATGAATAGCACTCTGGCTATTACAAAACAACACATACCTCTGCAACTTGAAACCAAGTTCTCTCAAGAACTTCTTTGCCCATAGCAACTCTTTAGTCGCTTCCGTTGCTGCAATAAACTCTGCCTCTGTGGTAGAAAGAGCAATACACTTCTGAAGTCTCGATTGCCAACCTACAGCCCCACCTGCAAAAGTGATCAAATAACCCGAAATAGACTTACGAGTATCCACATCCCCTGTCATATCTGCATCTGTGTAGCCAACTAATAATTGTTGTCCGTTTCCAAAACCAAGTCTCAAACTGGAAGTGCCTCGAAGATACCTCATGATCCACTTCACTGCATTCCAATGTTCTCTTCCCAAATTTGACAAGAATCGGCTAACTACACCAACTGCATGGGCTATATCTGGTCTTGTGCAAATCATTGCATACATCAAACTTCCTACTGCTGAGGCGTAAGGAACTCTTTTTATGTCTTCCTTTTCCTTATCTGTAGAAGGACATTGCTTTGTACTCAGTCTGAAGTGGGTAGCAAGAGGAGAGCTAACCACTTTAGTGTTGTCCATATTGAACCTCTGAAGCACTTTTTCAATGTACTCCTCCTCCTGTGACAAATATAACTTCTTGGCACTCCTATCACGACTGATTCTTATGCCAAGAATTTTCTTTGCTGGCCCCAAATCCTTCATAGCAAATGACTTACTCAATTGCTTCTTCAACTGGTCAATCCTTGAAGCATTCCTGCCAACAATCAACATGTCATCCACATAAAGCAGAAGAATAATAAAATCATCATCAGATAATTTTTTAACAAATACACAATGATCAGAAGTTGTCTTCTTGTAGCCTTGCTCCCCCATAACAGACTCAAACTTCTTATACCACTGTCTCGGTGCTTGTTTCAAACCATATAGGTTTTTCTTCAGCTTGCACACATAATCCTCTTTCCCTTTCACTTTGAAACCCTCTGGCTGCTTCATATAAATCTCTTCCTCCAAATCACCATGAAGAAAAGCAGTTTTCACATCTATCTGCTCAGCTTCCAAGTTAAGACTAGCTGCTAGGCCGAGTGCTATACGGATCGATGACATCTTTACGACTGGAGAGAAGATCCCATCCAAGTTAATACCTTTTCTCTAACCGAACCCTTTGACAACCAATCTAGCTTTGTACCGTGGCTGTGAAGAGAACCCATTTGGTTTCTTCCTGTAAATCCACTTGTTTTCCAAAGCTCTTTTTCCATTAGGTAGCTTTACTAACTCAAAGGTGTGGTTATCATGCAATGACTACATCTCATCTTGCATGGCCTCAACCCACTCTGTCTTGTGTTCATCTTTTATGGCTTCTGCAAAACACTAGGGCTTTCCCCCGTCAGTCAATAACACATACTGCTCTGCTGAATACCAAGTGGAAGGACGTCGGTCTTTGGGAGACTTCCTGGATGGAATCTCTGGTGGAATTTCTGGAGCTGTAACCTGCTTATCAGTCTCAACATCTCCCTGAACCTGTAAGGGAACATCCACATCACCCATACACTGGTGGTTATCTTGAACATCATTCTCAACCTGAGATGGCAAATTCTTCAGAGGAGCTGGATCTACATCAGTCAAGATATCACCTTGTTGAGACATAGATTTCCCTGCTTTGTCAATATCCTGAATCGTCTGATCTTCTACAAACACGACATCTCTATTTCTCACAATTTTTTTCTCAACTGGATCATAAAGCTTGTACCCAAACTCATCTTGGCCATAGCCAAGGAATATACATTGTTGCGTTTTCACATCAAGTTTGGACCTTTCATCTTTTGGAATATGCACAAATGCTTTGCACCTAAAAACACGTAGATGATTATAGGAAACATCTTTACTTGTCCAAACTCAGTCTGGCACATCAAACTGTAGAAGAACACAGGGTGTAAGATTCAATACATGAACAACTGTGCTCAATGCCTCCCCCCAAAAGGATTTTGGCAATTAGGCTTATGAAAGCAAACATCTCACTCTCTCAACCAGTGTCCTGTTTATCTTTTCTGCTATGCCATTCAACTGAGGAGTTTTTGGAGTTATCTTTTGATGCCGGATACCCTGCTGTCTACAATACTCATCAAAAGGACCAGAATACTCTCCGCCGTTATCAGTACGAATGCATCTCAGTTTCTTCCCAGTCTGTCTCTCAACTAAGGCTTGGAATTGCTTAAATACTACCAACACTTGGTCTTTTGAATTCAAGGTATATACCCACAACTTCCTTGAATGGTCATCTATGAAGGTCACAAAGTATCTAGAGCCACCAAGTGTTCTTGTCTTCATAGGGCCACACACATCTGAATGTACCAAATCCAGTATCTCTGACTTTCTCGAATAAGGGGAATTCTTGAAGGAGACTCTGCTCTGCTTCCCTGACAAACAATGAGTACACCTTTTCAGAAGTGTACTTTTCAGTCCACATAGCAGACTCTTCTTCCTTAGTAGAGCTAATCATTTCTCACTCATGTGAGCCAGTCTTTTGTGCCACAACTCTGTTGTATCATTTTCCTCCATCGCATTAACAATGTCATTGGAGATCTTTGCTTGCAGAATGTATAGCACCTCTAGTAAGCTTACACTGGCCATCACTAAAAGTGCTGCAATACCCTTCATCATCAAGTTTACCTGCAGAAACCAAATTCAAATGAATGTCAGGAACATGCTTCACATCTCTGAGAACTAACTCCGTGCCATTATTCGTCTTCAGATAAACATCCCCAATTCCAATAGCTTTAACCAAGCCATCGTTGCCCATCTTTACTGTTCCAAAATCACCAAATTTATAAGATGTAAAGAAATCCTTCCGAGATGTAGCATGAATGGAGGCACCACTGTCAATTACCCAACTGGTCTCATAGTATGCAACATTTATCGTCTCATCATCATAAACAATGAGGAAGTCTGAAGGAGTGGTGGTAGCAACTCTGTCATCACCATCTTTGTCATCTCCATTATTCGTTCCCTTCCCTTTCTTATTCTTATTTTCTTTCTTCAATTGCCTGCAATATTTCTTGATGTGTCCCTTTTTCCCGCAATGATGACACTCAACATTTGCAAATTTGTTGAACTTGTTTCTGCTGCTATCCCTGTTCTTCAGACCTCTACTCTTACTTCTCCCCCTCTTTTCTGTAACCAAGATCTCTGACTGTGAAGAGGATTCCTGTGTTTTTCTTCTCATCTCTTCATTTAGCAAACAACTCTTGGCCATATCCATTATGATTACACCTTCTGGAGTGGAGTTAGACAATGAAGTTCTGAGCGTCTCCCACGAGTCCGGTAATGAACCAAGCAACCATAACCCTTGTATCTCATCATCAAACTTAATACCCATTCCAGCCAGCTGATTAATAATTCCTTGGAATGTATTCAGGTGATCAAATAAAGGAGTCCCGTCCTGGTATCTCAAAGCCATCATCTGCTTAATCAAAAACAATTTATTATTTCCAGTCTTACTAGCATATAGCTGTTCAAGCTTACTCCATAGAGAATATGCATTTGTCTCTCCACTAATATGGTTCAAAACATTATCATCTACCTACTGCCTCATATACCCACACACCTGTCGATATAACAAAGTCCATTCCACAACAGTCTTTTTTTCTGGTTTTTCAACACTAGACACCGGTAGCTAATAATCTTTCACATAAAGAAGATCTTCCATTTTTTCTTTCCATATGTGATAATTTGAACCATTGAGATTAATCATTCTACTCGTATTTGCTTC